CGTGGGCCCCTCCTTGGGCTCTCTTGGGGCCCTCTTTGGGGCCTATGGGGGGTCTCTTGGGGCCCTCTTAGAAGCCTCGGAGGGCTGAGGCCAGATTGGAGACCATCGGTCTGCCAAGGGGGCGGCCCGTCGGGGCCTTCTGGATCACCTCTTGGGGCGCTCTTGGGGCCGTTTTGGGGTTCCATCGGGCCCCTCGTCGGGCTCTCTTGGCAAATCTTGGAGCCGCCTTGAGGCTTCCGAAGCCCAGTGGAAGCGAAAAGATGAGAAGGCAATACGACACAACACAACACAACACAACACAACACAACACAACACAACACAACACACACACACACAACACAACACAACACACACACACACACACACACACACACACACACACACACACACACACACACGCGCGCGCGCGCGCGCGCGCACGCACGCACGCACGCACGCACGCGCACGCACGCACGCACGCACGCACGCACACGCACACACACACACACACACACACACACACACACCGATGTGTCCTTCGATGTTGGAAGGATGTTGGCCTCTCGGGGGTGTTCGTGTGAGGCTCCGTGGCCATTCGAAGCCGTCTTGGAGCGGTATTGTGGCCTCTTGAAGGCACGCTGGAGGCTATCTGGACCTATCTTGGGCTACGTTTTGCGATATTGGAGGCCACCTTGTGCTATCTGAATCCGGCTCGGGGCCATCTGGACAACTACACATTCGGACTCCCTCTGCCCTGACCCTGTCCGGAAGATGCTCGACCCTCTCCGCTTACTCACTGGATTTCAGAAGTTGTGTTACGTGTGTTTGCAGTCCGATTGTTGTCGGTGTACAGTCGGGGCGCTGAAGAAGGAACCCTTTTCGTTGGGGAGGGTCTCGGTGTTCCTCGGTTGCTTCACAGTTTGCCTTAGGTTTTCCTGAGGCTTCCCAGGGGGAGTCGAAGAAGGGGCCTCGTTCCTTATTTAGGGTTCCTTAGGTCAACGCCCCGACTGTAGATTGTGTTCCCGCTGAGGCGTAGCATCTTCTGATCGGCGTTGTGTTCCCGTCGTTCAGAGTGGCGCTCTCGCTCCAGCGCGGGCCTCTTCTCTAGATCCGAGTCCGTTTGCATCGTCGTCGCCCCTCCTCGTGTCCCCGTCTTCGCCGTCCCCTGGTCATCCTGCTCCTCCCACTCCTTCGCTCCAGCCCCTGCTGCTGCTTTTTGTCCTCGTCCTCCTTCGTCCTCCTCCTTTTCCTCCTGCTCATCCTCCTGCTCATCCGCTGCCTCATCCTCCTCCTCCCCCGGTGTACGCAGTTCCCCTTGTGGGATTGCGCATAACACGATGGTTTTTTGGGGGGAGTTCCCAGTCGGCTATGACACGCGTCTACGGATAGAGAACAAAGCAGCGCAATGGAAAGGGACGAGATGGAGGAATAGGATGTCAGATGTGGCGCGGAGATGCTGGGGGGGAATAGCAATTAACCTCTCCCCGAAGAGAAGAGGGGGGTTGGCCACGGTCGCCATCATTATCATCGTCATCATCACCACCATCAGCAGCATCACCACCATCATCATCAGCATCAAAATCATTACCGTCATCATCATCATCATCATCATCATCGTCGTCATCATCATCATCATCGTCATCATCATCGTCATCGTCATCGTCATCGTCATCATCATCATCATCATCATCATCATCATCATCATCATCATCATCATCATCGTCATCGTCATCGTCATCGTCATCATCATCATCATCGCCGTCATCCTCATCATCAGCAGCAGGAGCATCTTCATCCTCCTCCTCCTCATCGTCATCTTCACCACTATCATCGTCGTCATCGTCATCATCCGTAGCCAGTTTTTGCTCGAGCCTCTGGCATACCTGGCGTTGTCTCCGCACCTCAGGCTCTGCTGCTCTCCCTTGCCGCGATGAACCGCGTGGTGCTCGCCGTGTTCGCCCTCCTGCTCTCCAGCCATGGCTGCGTCGCCGATGAGAAGACAACGACCATGGAGGAGCGCCGCCTGACGGACGACACCACCATGGGCGACGACACGACGAGCGCCGCGCCTCGCACCGGAAGCCCTGGCACCGTCCTCCTGGCGCTCCTCGCGTTCCTGATCGTGGGCAACGCGGCGGGGGCGGCACTGGACGAGTCCACCACAATGGCCGACGAGCGCCGCCTGACGGACACCACCATGGGCGACGACACGACGAGCGCCGCAGCTCGTAGCGGCGCCTTCGGCACCATGCTCCTGGCGCTCCTCGCGTTCCTGTTCGTGGGCAACGCGGCTGGGGCGGCAGTGGACGAGTCCACCACAATGGCCGACGAGCGCCGCCTGACGGACACCACCATGGGCGACGACACGACGAGCCCCGCAGCCCCACGCGCGTCGTTCCGGACGGCGCCGCTCTTCACCCTTGCTGTGGCGTTCGGTCTTGCATCGCAGCACTAAGGTCTGAAAGGGGCATGCTTGTAGCAGAATGTCTTCCCGGCTTCCAAGCTTCTCCTCTCATGAATTCAGTTCAAGCCACCCCTGACTCAGTGCAGCGGCAGCGAGCCCTCGCAAAGGCCTGGGCGCTGCGGCCGGGCAGCCCGTCTCCCCGAAAGACCAAGTCCAGAGGGCCCAGAGGCTTGCCCTGTTGCAGGTCCGCAGGAGGCTCGGATGGCGGCGTGCGGCTGGTCACCCGCCACATCAAGCGCAGACTGATCACCGGGGCCAACCCCGGGTGCAGCGGCCCTCGCAAAGTCGCGGGGCCGCGGGCCTCCCTGGGAGCGGCCCAGGCACGCAGCCGCGCTGCCCATCCCCTCGCGAGTCTGAAGAGGTCGGTGCCGGGAGCGAAGAGTTCCGTGCCGGATGTGCGTCTCCGTGGCGCGTGGTCGAAGTTGCGGCAAGTGCCGGGGTCCGGTGGGATGTGTCCTCGATCGTTGGAGCTGGCGGTTCCGAGTCCTTCCAGCGTGGAGGCAACCGAGTAGGACATGCGGTGGGCACCGAGAGTGCAAGACCCCATCGAGAGCACAGAATGCAGCACATGAGGCAGCACTTCCAGTGCACATCGAGGGTACAATGACCCACTGTTCGGGGCCCACGCGGGCGAACAGCCTTAGTCTTCTTGTCTGTCCCATCCTCTTGGGGGAGGAGGAGGAGGAGGAGGAGGAGGAGGAGGAGGAGGAGAAGGAGGAGGAGGAGGAGGAGGAGGAGGAGGAGGAGGAGGGGGAGGGGGAGGGGGAGGAGGGGAGGGGGTTACGGGAGGAGGAGGAGAAGGAAGGAGGAGGAGGAGGAGGGGGAGGAGGAGGAGGAGGAGAAGGAAGAGGAGGAGGAGGAGGAGGAGGAGGAGGCGGCCAGGCCTGCCGCCGTAGAAGAGGGGCCCGCCCAGAGACCTGATGTAGGTCTGGTTGTAGGTCCGATCCCGGCATGGAGATTTGAGTTCCCGCTGGTAGCGACACAACTTGTGGTTCGCCAGGTATCCGTGTTACATCGACGCCCGGATGCACTCGGAGGTTTTCGGAATTAGCTCGAAGATTTCATTCAGTGTTCCACGGGGTAGGGCGCTGGGAGCCTCAAGGGGGCCGCAATGTTCCAGCAACGAAGTGCCCAGAAAGCCGTCCCCAACAGGGAAGATAAGATGATCCAGGACGGAGGTGGGGCCTCCGTTCTTCCAGGCCTCCCAGATGGGGTCTGAGAAGGTGGGGTCGGGGGATCGCGGTGCCTCGCCGATGCATCGGCGATGCGGCTCGCTGTGGAGCCCGATTTGCTCCACGCCGACGTCGCCGATGCACCGCCGACGTCGCCGATGCACCGCCGATACATCGGCGATGCGGTGCAATCCGACCCCATCTGCTCCAACTCCGCCCCGGAGGGCTCCAGAGAGGTCGGGAGGTCGGTCGACCGCCGAGGTCCCAGGGGGATCGCGGATCGCCACATGGCTCACATGGCTCCCGCTCCCCGTCCTCCGCGGCTGCATCTGGCGCGCGCGGCTGTGGGCAGCAACCGCCTCTCGCGGGCAGCAGCCGCTCCGACCCCATCTGCTCGGACCCCATCCAGGAGGCCTCTGGTTCTGTGGCGTGCTACAGTCAACCCGCAGAGTTAGCAAGGATGAGCAGCTGTGCAAGGCTGCCCTTGCATCCTTGCCCCATCCGGCCGGTCCTTCTCTTCACCCCTCCGTTTCAGGGTACAGGCCACCCCCAGTTACCCCCCATGCAGGTCACCCCCCTTTTGGGGTCCTTTTGCTTCGCCTCCCGTTTGGGTCACCCCCCCATGACCACCCGCCCGAGCCTCGGAGCCGTCTCTGTCCAGGGCGGCGGCGCGAGGACGCGAAGGCAAACCGTGCGTCGGGCCTCGCGCCAGACCGTGTGAGGTGGTCGACATCGACCTGGGGGCCCCGCACCGCACCGCATGGGCCCGAGCAGCTGCCTTCGCATCCACACCACCAGTAGTCGTTGCAGATGCCTTGCCTTAAGTCGGGCCTGTCCCTCTACAGGGGGAAGATTCAAAAATAGTAGAAACATAGTCTGGGGACTATTGTTTTAGTATTCCTGGGCATCTTTTGACTATGTTTTGAGTCTTTTCCATTTTTCCGTACAGAATCCCCCTGTAGGGGGACAGGCCCGACCTGAGCCTTGCCCTTGAACGTCGTACCAGCCGCGCTTACAGCTTCCTCCACAATTGCTCAGTTTGGAGCCGTCAGGGGGTCCGAGGTGACCCAGCACTGGGCCTGGCCAACAGGAAGGGCGGGCACGTTCGAGGTCCCGGGCTCGGGAACGTTTGTTGCCTTTTTCGGCCTCCCGGGGGCCGTCTCCGGGCCCTCGGACAGTCAAAACGGATACGGGGTGCACACCGGATGGACCCCAGGAGGTGTCCAGAGACTGATTTAGAACGAATTTGGTTCCTACCCCCTTCCGTGCCGATTATCTGTGGTCCCCACCAGTTCAGACCCCCTTGGCCGCCTCCAAGGTGCAGGTGTGCAGTTGGCGCCATTACGCAGGCTCTTGCGGCAAGATTGACCCCTGAGCTCCTCCGTAGCCGTTTGGCTTGTAGTACAGTCAGCCCGCATAGTAAGGATGGGCAACCTTCCCAAGGGTACCCTTGCATCCTTGCCTCCTCGGTCCATCCTTCGCCGCTTTCGCTTGCCGCGCCCCGCTCGAAAAGCTTTGAAATGGGCGTCCAAGGCCCTTGCATCCTTGTCGCGCATCCTTACCTTGGCTGCCAGCCTGTCTCTCTTCCCTCCTCAGCCGCTCTCCTTGATGCAGCGCGCCCTATGCGATGCAAGTGGCCAGCTGCGTGCGCGACGCTGGGCCTAACCTGCCTCACCGCCGTCTCGCTGCGGGGCCAATCGAGGGATCCTGGCCTGCTGTCGGTCACGGTGCTGCGGCAGGCGCCGCCGCCCGCACAAGCGCAGGGGCAGCCGGGCGCGCTGGGCCCAGGGCCGCGGCAGGTCTCGCCGCCGGCGCCGGCGGACGCGCGGCCTGGCGCGCTGGACCTGGCGCCGCGACAGGCTGTCAAGCAGTGGCGAAGCGTCCCGGCTCGCCTATAGCCCCACCAACCAGTGTTCTAAGACGTTTTTGTGGCTCCCACGGAGTGTTCTTAGAACAGTTCTGGCTGGGGCTGTCTTGTTTTAGCACATCGGGTTCATGTTCTAAGAACATTGCTTCTGTTCTTAGAACCTTTCTGGGTTCTAAGAACATGTCGTGGTATGACTGTAGGACTGCCGGCAAAGGCTTCGCCACAGGCGTCTGCGGCGGCTCCGGCTCCAGAGGGCGCGCGGAGTTCGGCACAGCGGCAGGCCTCGCCGCCAGCGGCCGCGAGCGCACCGGCAGAGGCGAAGCAAGATGTGGTGGCAGTGCTGCCACCGCAGGCTGAAGCCCCGCCGCTGGCAGCGGCGAGCGCGCTGGCAGAGGTGAAGCAAGACGTGGTGGCAGGGGTGCCACCGCAGGCTGAAGCCCTGCCGACAGCGCCAGCTCATGCGGCGACGCGCGCCTGGCGGGACAAGGACTCCGTAGTGCCAGACGTTTGCCCAGTGTGTCCAGAGGTGCCAAAGAGCTTGATAATCCTTGACGGCCAAATCACAGCGGGGCTGGGCGACAGGCATTTCCTGTTCCAGAGGATCGGCGGAATAGCAAGGCTGCTGTGCGCCAATTTCACGGCGCGGTCGCCTCGCGAGCAGCTCGGGCCCTACTTCAACGACGGGCACCTGGTGAGCGCTAGCGTCGGCTGGGATCGTTATTTTGACACGCAGAGCTTTCCGGGACCCAGGCTGTACAACAAAAGTGATTGGAAGGTGAGATTTAATCAGACGCCGCATGACACGATTGAGGACAATCGTTCCGACCATACGATCTCTTCGAGGATGTCTGATTTTTCGCGGGGCCTGGCCGCGGCGCTTGAAGGTAGGTCTTTCACTTGGCACATCCGCTCTTGGCTGTTGAGCGACACGTGGACGAAGCTGGCCCGCAAGGTGTGGCCTGGGGTAGAGAAGTGTGTTGGCGAGGTGCAGCTTCGGCGATCTCCATTTGTCGGGGAGATCGCCGGGCAAGTTATTGCTCAGCTGGGCTTGAAGCGAGGCGGTTTCAGCACGCTCCACATCCGCAGGCTGAAGGACGTCCGTGCCAGATGTAATTCCGACGTGCCAGTAACGCTGCGTTACATGTCTTGCGCTGCTCAGTCAGAGACAGCCCCCGTGCTGCTCTTCACTGACGAGCTGGACGAGGGCTATTTGAAGCCGCTGCTGGCAGGCCTGACCGCTCTCGGTCTGACTGTGCACCACGGGGACCCAGTTGCCACCAGGATCGTGAACGAGCTTGGCACGGGCCCAGACAACTTCCTGGTTTATTTTGTGAGCAAGGAAATACAGGCATGGGCCTCACGCCAATTCTTCAGATCATGGCACAACTGCCCGCCAGTACCCCGGGAGCCGTGCCACTAGAGACCAGCTGCGGAAGTCTCCTCGTCTTCATCCTCCTCCTCCTCCATGAGGGCCTCTTGGGCCGTCTTGGAGACCTCTTGGGGGCCTTTTGGGTCGTCTTGGGCCATCTTAGAGCCATCTTGGGCCATCTTGACGGCCTCCTGGCCCGTCTGACGCTGTCGGAAGCTGTCTTTGGGGCTTCGCTGGGCCGACTTAGGGCCCTCTTGGGGTGCTCCAGGGCCGTCTTGGAGGCCATCTTGGGTGCCTTGAGGCCTCTATGGCCGTCTTTGGGTCCTCTTGGAGCCGTCTTGGGGGGCCGTTCTGGGGCCATCTTGGAGGCCTCTTGGGCGATCTTGGGTGGGAGCTCTTTGGCCGTCTCGGGACGTCGGAAGGCCGGAAAGAAGCAAAAGGCAAAATCCTTCAAAAACCAAAGAAGCATCAAGGACTTTGGCCTCTTCGGGCCCTCCTGGAGACCCTCTTGGAGGCCTCTGGAGCCGTCTTGAGGCCATTTTCTGGCCGTCTTGGATGCATCTTGAGGCCATCTTGGGCTCTCTTGGCGCCATCTTGGCCGTCTTGGAGGCAGATTGGAGGCCACCTTGGGCCTTGGGCGAGAGAGGCGCTGACATCTACATTCTCGGGGTGGCCGGCGCGCTGGGCCGAAGCCCCAGGGGGAGTTCCAACAGAACAAATAACCTTCTGAACTCTGACACGCCAGGCACCCCTGTGGCAAGCCAACAGGGAGCGGCGGATCGAAGACGCCTACGGCGAATCACCGCCGCCCCCTGCCCTGTGAAATCGCCCATGTGGCCGAGCTGTGTGGCCGGGCGATCTCTGGGGGCTCTTGGGCCGTCTCCTGCCGTCGGAAGGCCGACAAGAAGCAAAGGGCACAATCCGTCAAAAACCAAACTCTGATCAAGGAGTTTGGCCTCTTCTGGCCTTCCTGGAGACCCTCTTGGGGCCTCTTGGGCCGTCTTGGAGACCTCTTGGGGGCCTCTTGGGCCTTCTGGGGCCATCTTAGAGCCATCTGCGGCCGTCTTGCTGGCCTCCTGGCCCGTCTGACGCCGTCGGAAGCTGTCTTGGGGGCCTCTCTGGGCCAGCTTGGGGCCCCCTTGGGGTGCTCCAGGGCCGTCTTGGAGACCATCTTGGGCGTCTCGGAGGCCTCTTGGGCCGTCGTGCGGCCCTCTTGGGACCGTCTTGGGGACCTCTTGGGCCGTTCTGGAGCCCTCTTGGAGGCCTCTGGGGCGATCTTTGGGCGATCTTTGGGGGCTCTTGGGTCGTCTCGGGACGTCGGGAGGCCGAAAAGAAGCAAATGTCAGTATCTTTCAAAAACAGAATGAAAATCACGGATGTGGGCCTCTTCGGGCCCTTCGGGCCTTTCTAGCGGATCTCTGGGAGGTCTCGTGGGCCGTCTTGGAGGCCTGTTGGGGGCGTTTTGGAAAGTCTTGGGCCATTCTGGAGCCAGTTTGGGCAGTCTCGGTGGCTTCGTCGGCGGACTTGGAGGTATCTTGGACCCTCTTGGACCCTCTTGGAGGCCACCTTGGGCAATCTTGGGCGAACTTGGAGGCCATCTTGGCCGTCTTGGAGGCCATTGAGGCCGTCTTGGAGACGTTGGTTGCGCAGCGGCGCGGCCTTCCCGGTGGCCGGCGGGACGGGCCGAAGCCCCAGGGGGGGACCTCTTGGGAAAAGAACCCAAACCAAACCGTAGAGGGTTCAGCACGCCAGGCACCCGTGTGACAAGCACACAGGGGCGGTGGATCGAATGGCCTTCGGTCCATCCCGCCACAGTGCATGGGTTGTGGGTCAGAGTTCTCAGCGATGCTTCTTCGCGTCCCTGGAGCGCTCTTGGTGGCCTCTTGGGGGACGTTTGCAGGCCTCCTGAGAGCCTCTTGGGGCCTCGTGGGGGCTCCTGGAGGTTTTCTCGGGGCCGAGAACTCGAAATGTTCGTTTGGGTTCCCCATCTGGGCCCCCTCTTGGGACCGTATTTGGGCACTCTTGGGCCGTCTTGGGCGCCTCTTGGGCCGTCTTGGGGCCTTCTTGGGGGCCTCGTAGGCCGTCTTGGAGCGTGGGGAAACCGAACGGCGCGAATGCTGGAATCCTTCACTAATCTGAGGGACTGAATTCTGTCTGCCTCTTGGGGACCGGCGCCTGGGAAACCGGGATCCGGGCTGCAGGAGCCTTGGGGCACTCCACTACGTGCTGAGGACACGGTGGCGGATAAGGAAAATGGTTTGAGGATGAGGATGATGATGATGATGATGATGATGATGATGATGATGATGATGATGATGATGATGATGATGATGATGGTTGTGGTAGTGGTGGTGGCGACAACGACGACGATAATGATGTCGAGGAGGAGGAGGAGGAGGAGGAGGAGGAGGAGGAGGAGGAGGAGGAGGAGGAGGGGCGCGAAAAGCAAGGCCGTCACATGTGACACATTTCGCCTTCACTATTTGAGGAGCTCTCATGGAACTCGTTTGGGCCGTCTTGGGGCTGGCTTGGCCTCCTGTGAGGCAGACTTGGGGGTCCCTTGGGGCCTTCTTGGGACCCTCTTACGCCATCTTGAACCTCTCGTGAGCTGCCTTCGGGCCGTCGTGGGGTCGTCGGAAGGCCTTCTAAGGCCTTCTTGGGTCCCACGGGAGGCCGTCATGGGGCCGTCTTGGATGCTTCTTGGGCCTTTGGGCCATCTTGGGACCCTCTTGCTGGCCTCTTGGGCCGACTTGGGGCCATCGTGGAGGCTTCTTGGGCCATCTTGAGTTCACGGAAGCCCAAAAGGGCGAGAATGCGAACATCTGTCAAAAACCTAGAGAGAATCCGCGATGTTGATCTTTGTCGACCCTGTTGCAGTTTCTCTTGTTGCTCTTTCGGGCCCTCTTGGAGGCTTCTTAGGTCGTCTTGAGGCAAGATTGGGCCGCCTTGGGGCCATCTTGAGCCGTCTTCTAGGCATCTTGGGCCGCCTGAGTGTCTTTGATTGCTTGCGTGGGCCGTCTTGGAAGCTCGGGACGCGGATCCATAGTTTTCAACGAGGGATCGTGGCCTCGGGGGCGCGGACCCGATGTTCTTGTTTGTGAAAGATCGTGGCCTCAGGAGGGGGGGCGCACGGAAACTTCACCAGACAACGCTTGGCACTCTTCCGCGCCTCTGCGTTCGCAAGGCACGGTGGCGGATATACACACAGGTATGTGCGTATATAAATGTATATATATATATATATATATATCCCCACATTTCAATGTTTAAGCAAGAAGAATAGAGGAGGGACGCCGAACCGCAACGTTCGGCTCAAGCGAAAACCCACGCCTTTCCATGGAACTCCTGGAACAAGGACTCTTCGAGATAATCCGAGGGGTGGGAATAGGCGCAGCTGTGCGCGCGGCAGGGCACGGGTGCCCAGACTGCGCCTGCCAGTGCCCGGCCTGCAGCTGCGCCTTCAGCTGCCCTGCGTGCCCCACCGTGCACTGCGGGCCGCACTACTCGTACGGGTGGGTCGTGCTGCCCCTGTGCGCGGCCGTGGGCTTCGCACTCGCCCAGCTGCCCGACGCCTGGCAGGTAGGCCGCTCGGGGAGCTCGCCGAGTTGCCGTGCTGGGGCCGCATCGAGTGCGTGTGCGGCGATCAGGTCGCCCGAGGACGCCGCCCAGGGGCTGGATCTACAGCGCGAGGCTCAGGAACAGCTGCGGCACGTGAGAGCTCGTCACTTGCAGTGAGATCGTGCCCATGGCGGTGAATGGCCTAGAGATCGCAGGCCTCACAGAGGGGGACTTCTACCTGGTGCGGTTTCAGGTGCCGGGGCCGCCTCTCTGGCATGAACGGTTGTGCGTCTACCTGCCTCAGCGGGCCGGCGCGGTGTGTGCTTGCTATACGCCAGACGGGGACAGCTACGAAGAGGACTTCGGGGATGGCCGCGACGCCGCAGAGTGGTGCTTCCTGCCAGGCGGAGCTCAAGGAGGAGCGGCGCCTGCTGGGGCGGGAGGTGCTGGTGCTCGCCTGTACCGCTTCCGCGCCATCCCGCTGGCCGCGGAGCTGGGCCAGGCGCGCGACCGAGCTGCTCAGCGGGCTGGCGCCGCCGCGCCGGGGCTGCCACTGGCGCCGAACACGGTCGGTCGTGCTGGCGCACCGCCCGCTGGGGTCGGCGTGCCAGGCGTGGCGCCCGCTGCCGCGGGCGCGGCCGCTGCGGCCGGAGGCGCCGCCGCTGCTGATGCTCCTGGGGCCCTCGCGCCCGTGCCCGCGGGTGCTGGCGTCGGAGGCGAGCTCGGGGCTCTCGCCGCGGTGCTGGGACCTGCTGGCGGCGCCGTGGCGCAGGGTGCTGGCCCTGGTGGCGCCCTGGTGGGGGCCGCCCCCGCGGTGCCGCTCGCTCCGGTCGCCCCCGCGGCGGGCGCCCTTGTGGCCGGCCTGGCGCCTGGCCCTGTGGCACCGCCTGCGCCGCCGCCAGCTGGAGGTGGAGCTGGCATGGTCTCCGACCTGAGGGTGCACCCCATCGTGGTGGACACCATGGCGAGGCGCCATCGCCCCTTCGCGGAGGCGCTGCCCATGCTGACGGAGACGCCCTGGGCCGACTGGCCGGTCAGAGGCCCTCGGACTTCGAAGTGGGTCTGCCTCTTTCTCGCAGGCAACGGCGGCAGTCCCATCGCGCGCCATCATCGGTGGAAGACCGATTGCAGGCTGACAAACGAGGGCGGTGTTGAGGAGCACCTGCGAATCTGCACCGCCCTCGAGAATGCCGTTTGCTTCGACCAGCTGAATGTGGCCGAGATGGCCAGCTTCGAACTCCTCGGCAGGAGCCTGCAGATCATCGAGGAAAAGTATCGTGAGAGGACGGCAGGCGCTGCGGACCCCGTGCGCATGGATCAGCACCTGTACCTTGGGACTGAGCTGGTGCGGGGCAACTGCTGCGCGTGCCCGGCTCTGCAGGCATGGGTCAGCCAGGGACTGGCTCAGGAGCACGCGATCCTGAAGGAGAGGAGAAAGGCCCGTGAAGAACGCGCCGCTGCCCAGACTGCCACGAAGGCCAAAGCAAAGGCCAAGGGCGGCAGAGACGGCGGCGGCGATGATGGTTAGGCAGG